TGACCACAGCAGTGACCACAGCACTGACCACAGCACTGACCACAGCACTGACCACAGCACTGACCACAGCAGTGACCACAGGAGTGACCACAGGAGTGACCACAGCACTGACCACAGCACTGACCACAGCAGTGACCACAGCACTGACCACAGCACTGACCACAGCACTGACCACAGCAGTGACCAAAGCAGTGACCACAGCACTGACCACAGGTCACTGACCACAGCACTGACCACAGCACTGACCACAGGTCACTGACCACAGCACTGACCACAGCACTGACCACAGCACTGACCACAGCAGTGACCACAGCAGTGACCACAGCACTGACCACAGCAGTGACCACTGACCACTGGGGTGACCTCTGGGATGTTCCACCACCCCCACCCCTCCTTGAGCTTGACCACCCCAAAAATGACCCCTCCAAGACCCTCAGCCTTCATCCCACCTTCATCACCCTCAGTGACACTGACCGGGTCCTGGCCAAACACTGACCACTGCAGTGACCACTGGGTGACCACTGACCACTGGGTGACCACTGACCACTGCAATGACCACTGACCACTGGGTGACCACTGGGTGACCACTGACCACTGGGATATCCACTGACCACTGGGTGACCACTGACCACTGCAATGACCACTGACCACTGGGTGACCACTGACGACGGGGATATCCACTGACCACTGGGTGACCACTGACCACTGGGTGACCACTGCGATGACCACTGACCACTGCAATGACCACTGACCACTGGGATGACCACTGACCACTGGGATGACCACTGACCACTGGGTGACCACTGACCACTGGGTGACCACTGCGATGACCACTGACCACTGCAATGACCACTGACCACTGGGTGACCACTGACCACTGGGTGACCACTGACCACTGGGATGACCACTGACCACTGGGATGACCACCGGGATGTCCCACCCCAGAGTGACCCCCATCCCCACCTTGGTGGGTTCTCCTGAGGCTCCTCAGGATGTTCCTCCTTCACCGGCCAGGCTCTGGCCAAACACTGACCACTGGGTGACCGCTGGGTGACCCCTGACCACAGCAATGACCACTGCAGTGACCACCGGGACGTCCCACCCCAGAACCACCCCCATCCCCACCTTGGTGGGTCTCCTGAGGCTCCTCAGGATGTTCCTCCTGCGCGGATCCTCCCCGTCGGCCGCCTCGAAGGCCATCACCGCGTTGTCCCCTCCCTTGTAGCCCCCGTGGCCTCCGACCTCCTCGTCCTTCTTCCTCCCCGGGCCCAGCTCGTCGTCGCTGCCCACGCCCAGCCCCGGCCGGTAGCCGGCGAAGCGGCCGAGCCGGGCGCAGCGGGCGCGGTACAGCAGCGGCTTGGCGGCGGCCGGAGCCCTGCGGCCGCGCTCCAGGGAGCCGCTGTCCATCTCGCTGTCCGAGCCGTTGCCGCTGCCGTTGGAGGCCGCCTTGTTGATGTTGCGCACGGTGATGATCTTGCCCTGGGTGCTGTCGTGCGGCACCGAGTAGATGTTCTCCTCCTCGCTGCGCGGCTTCACCACCGCGTCCATGGGCTCGGCGTAGTCGGACGGGTCGAAGCAGTCGCCGGCCGGCCACGCCGACACCGAGCGCCGCCGGCCCTGCTCCAGGAACGCCAGCTCGGCTTTGCCTTTCGGCACCGGCGCGATTTTATTGTTGAGCTTGCTCTCGAAGCCGCCCAGCACCGAGACGAAGGACAGCGCGTCGTTGCCCTCCAACTCCGCCGACAGCTTGGAGAGCTCCCGGGGCGGCGCCGGCTCCTCGCGGAAGGGGCTGTACCCCGGCGGCGCCTCGGCGTCCTCCTCGGAGTCGGGCGGGTTGGAGTTGCAGAGCGGCGAGCCGGCGCGCGGCGAGTTGAAGACGTCCTCGCCGGCGCCGCAGGCCTCGGCGGCGTTGTCGTACATGTGGGCGGCCTCCACCATGTTCTTCTTGTCCAGCGCGTCCTTGAAGAAGGGCTGGAAGGCGTCCAGGCGGTGCTGCCCGCAGGCCGGCGCCGCGAAGCGCGCCTCGATGTCCTGCGCGATCTCCTCGCCCTCGGCCAGCTGCTCGCGGCTCAGCTCGCCGTCGGCCGCCTCAGCCGGGCCGTGGCTCAGCGCCACCAGCTGCACGGGCACGATGTCCTGCACGTCGGCCAGGAAGGCGCGCAGCGTGGCCAGCGAGGCGCGGCGGCCGGCGGCGTAGCAGACGATGTAGCCGTGCACCAGGCGGTTCTTGCGCAGCCCGAAGGACGCGTGGTAGGACAGCAGCGACAGCTCCACGCGGCGCCGCTGCGAGCCCACCGCCAGCTCCAGCAGCACCGCGGCGCCGCCGCCGGGCGCCGGCCGGCACGGCTGCGCCTGCAGGATGGGCAGCAGCACCTCGTCGGCGCCCGCCGGGTCGCCGCACATCAGGCACATCACCACCCGCAGGTCGGCGTCGGCCGCCTCGCGCGGCCCCGGCGCCGAGCCCGCCGCCGCCGCCGCCGCCGCGGCCGGGCCGCGTTTGGCGTCCAGCAGCCCCTTCAGCACCTGCCCGATCTGCTTCTCGTTGATGTTGCGGCCGTAGCCGCTGCCGGCCGCCGCCGGCTCCAGGAAGCCGCACTGCAGCTTGCTGGCGATCTGCTGGCCCTGCTGGATCAGGCTCTGCAGCGTCTCCCCGCCGGCCTCGCCGCCGCCGCGCTTGTTCACCAGCGCCAGCGTCAGCGGCAGCTGCGCCGGGTGCCCGTCGCGCCGAGCCGCCGCCGCCGCCGCCTCGCGGCTCTTCTCGACGCTCTCCACCACGTAGGACAGCGACTCCTTGGAGTTGTAGAGGCAGAGGCAGCCGTGGGGCTGGAAGGTGGGCGTCTGGAAGGCGTTGACCGGCAGCCGCACGTTGCCCTCGATGGGCCGCAGCGCCAGCTCGTACATCTTGCCCTCCACCACGAACTTGTCGTCGTTGGTGCAGAGCGCGCGGATCTCGTTGGCCAGCTCCCGCGCCAGCCCGTCCTTGCCCAGGATGACCAGGTTGAGGCGGTCGGCGGCGGCGGCGTCGGCCGGCGCCGGGCGCGGCGGCCGCGAGAAGCGGGAGCCCAGCAGCTGCTCCACGCGGGCGTCCACGCAGGAGGAGCAGCTGGGACACGTCTCCTTGGTGGGGTGGTAGACGAAGTGGATGTGCTTGAGGATGAGGGCGTCGCGCTCGGCCTGCAGCTTCTGCAGGGCCTTGAAGCGCTGCTCCTCGCCCAGAACCTCCTGGATGACGCCCATCTTCTCCTTGCTGGGCTTGGCGTCCAGCTCCAGCTCGTAGAAGAGCTCCGAGTACTCCAGCAGCAGCTCCTGGAAGTCCTCCTTGGCCTTGTCGATCAGCTGCTTCTGGTGCTTGCCGTAGATGTCCATGTAGACGGGCTCCTCCAGCCACAGGTAGAAGTCCTCGTTCATGATGAAGCTCCTGGCCTCCTCCCAGGGCTTCCCGGGCGTGACGAAGGGCGAGCTCTCCAGGTTCTCGCGGAACGCCCTCCTCATCTCGGCGCGCTTGCGCTCGTCGCGCAGCTTCTCCAGGTGGGCCTCGTAGAGCTGCTCGCCCGCCGGCGTCTCCAGCAGGTCGAAGGGGATGCGCTCGTTGTCCACGTCGTCCACGTGGCTCGTGGCGTCCCACGGCGTCTCCTCCAGCACCACGAACCACTTGAGGAAGTCGGGCTTGGCCTCCAGCAGCTTCTCGGCCTTGGCGCGGCTCAAGCGGTCGATCTCGTCCAGGTCCGGCACCAGGGCGTCCAGCGCCTGCGGCAGCAGCGCCAGGTAGACCCTGCGGCGCCGCTCGATGTGCTCCTGCTTGAGGCGCTGCACGTGCTGCAGGAAGAGCTTCTTGGCCTTGTGGGTGCCCTCCAGGTAGACGTACTCCTGGAACTCGGGCGCCGGCTGCATCTTGCGGCTGGCGCCGGGCCAGGCCTCGTGGTGGCTCTTCACCACGCGGCTCACCAGCCACTCGTACTTGTCCTTGGCGGCGGCGATCTGCTGGCTCTGCTGCTTCAGCGCCTCGAAGTAGGGGATGATCTTGGCCTTGCCGCGGCTGCGGTCCACCAGCTGCACCAGCGTGCCGAACGCCAGCTCCACGTTGACGTTGGAGCGCGCCGAGGTCTCCACCACCTGCAGGTTCTTCTTGCCCAGCGCGAAGGCGTGGGCGTCGCGGATGTAGCGCTCCACGCCCTCGTCGCACTTGGTCAGCACCACCACCACCGGCTTCTTGGTCTTGGCCAGCTGGTTGTAGAGGTTGGACACGAACTTGAGCTGCTCGTCGAAGTTGCGGTTCATGCCGCGGCTGACGTCCACGCACAGCAGGAAGCCGTCCACCGGCAGCTTGCCGTCGGGCATCTGCTTCTGCTCGAAGTCCTGCTCCAAGCCCAGCTGGTCGGTGCAGAAGTACATGAGCTTCTCGGCCGACGCCAGCTTGGTGGCCGCCGCCCTCTTGATGTAGGGCTGCAGCGCCGTGCTGCGGTGGGGCTGGAAGGTCTGGTCGTCGATGAACTCCGTCTGCTCCACCACGTGGATCCGGCACTCCACGCACTCCTCCAGCGGCCGCGCCACCTCGCCCCAGTAGAGGAAGTGGTCATTGTTGACCACCCTGCCCCCAAAGTCACTGGTGCTGAGGACGGACGTGTGCTCCAAGTGGAAGTCGTCGGCGCCGGGCCGCACGAAGCGGTTGCACAGGCAGGATTTGCCGACGCCGCACTGGCCCTTCTCCTTCTCGGTGCCGGACAGCCCCACCACGCTGACGTTGTAGGTGGGCGTGCGGCCATCTTGTTTGCGCGCCATCATCATCGCCGGCGCATGGGGGGGCTCAGGGCAGGCGCGGCGCCGGGGCGGGGCCGCTCGGCGTCGCCATGCCGCGCGTGCCGGCGTCGCTTCAGGCCGCGGTGGGCGCCGGCGTCGGGTGGCCGGCGAGGCGCCCTGCGGAGAGAGGAGAGGACAGCGAGGGTTAGGCACAGGAACCGCCCGGTGCTGGGGGTGCTGGGGGTGGACACGGCGGCGTGGGGGACACGGGCTGGACGGCTGGACAAAGAGCCGCCGTGATGGACACCAGTTCTCCACCCAACCAAAGATCCACCATGATGGACAGGAGTTCTCCACCATGATGGACAGGAGTTCTCCACCATGATGGACAGGAGTTCTGCACCATGATGGACAGGAGTTCTGCACCCAACTGGACACCCATGGTGGTGGACATGAGTTCTCCACTCAACCAAAGATCCACCATGATGGACAGGAGTTCTGCACCATGATGGACACACCTTCCCCACCCAACCAAAGATCCACCATGATGGACCTGAGTTCTGCACCCAACTGGACACCCCTGGTGGTGGACATGAGTTCTCCCCTCAACCAAAGATCCACCATGATGGACCTGAGTTCTGCACCCAACTGGACACCCCTGGTGGTGGACATGAGTTCTCCCCTCAACCAAAGATCCACCATGATGGACACAACCTCCACACCACGATGGACACAAGTTCCCCACTGTGATGGACATGAGTTCTCCACCCAACCAAAGACCCTCCATGATGGACAGGAGTGGTCCACCATGATGGACACAACTTCTCCCCCCAACCCAGCTTCTCCACCATGATGGACAGGCGTTCTCCACCATGATGGACAGGAGTTCTGCACCCAACTGGACACCCGTGGTGGTGGTGGACATGAGTTCTCCACCATGATGGACACAACTTGTCCACTCAACCAAAGACCCTCCATGATGGACAGGAGTTCTGCACCCAACTGGACACCCGTGGTGGTGGTGGACACAAGTTGTCCACCATGATGGACACAACTTCTCCACCCAACCCAGCTTCTCCACCATGATGGACACAACCTCCACACCATGATGGACAGGAGTTCTCCACGGTGATGGACACAACTTCCTCAGCATGATGGACACTTGTCCACCCAACTGGACAGCCACAGTAGTGGACATGACCAAAGACCCACCACGATGGATCCAACTCCTCCACCATGACGTTCCCAACTTCCCCATGATGGACCCAAATTCTCCACCATGATGGATCCAACTCCTCCACCACGATGGACAGAACTTCTCCACCACGATGGACAGAACTTCTCCACCACAATGGACAGAACTTCTCCACCACAATGGACAGAACTTCTCCACCACAATGGACAGAACTTCTCCACCACAATGGACAGAACTTCTCCACCACAATGGACAGAACTTCTCCACCACAATGGACAGAACTTCTCCACCACGATGTTCCCACCTCCTCCACCATGAAGGACCCAACTCCTCCACCCACCACGGGCGTTCTCATTTTCCACCTTCTCCAGAAGCCCAAGCCCGACCCCGGCTCCGCTCCGCTCTTCCCGGCTCCTCCCCTGGGATCCGACGGGATCGGCCGAGAACTCCAGGGAAACCTTGGAGGCACCACCAGGAAGTTCTTCCCGAGGGGAAAATCCCCATCCCTGGAACTCCTGGAACGGCTTCTCCATCCCTGGAGCTCTCCGAGGGCTTCTCAAGCTCCTTCCAAGCCAATCCCGCGGAATCCGACGGGTTTTGCCGGAAAATTCCGCGGATAACGACCCCGCCATGGAATTCTTCCAACGGGAGCCGGAGCCGTGTCCGTGAACTCCGCGTTTTCCTAAAATCCCGTTATTTTGGAGGTGGATCCAAGTAAAAATTCCTGTCGGGATCCTCCTCCCGGGAATGCTTTTCCTGCTCTTAACAAAACCCTGGTGACTTCCAGATCCGCAAGGAATTCCCCCTTTCCTTAAAATTTGGGATAAAAACTCGGGAATTTGGGTGTTTCAGGGGGTGATTTGAAAATTCCTGGCTATTCCACGGCGACATCCCAAAAAAAAACCCCCTGGATTTATCCCTTTTGGGATCTACTGGGTCTTCAAAAAATCCTGGATAAACTTTGAGCCCACCAAAATCAAGGAATTCCCTCTCCAGGTGTGAATTTTCCCGTTGATCCCAGGAATAAAAAACCCCTGGAGTGGATCCAGAAAAATTCCTGGAATTGGGTCGTTGGGATCTTCCCAGGGATCGAGTTCATCTTTTTCTTCCACCTGGATCCCGGCCTAATCCCGGATTTTCCCAATTTTCAGCCCAAAATTCTCTCTCTGGAGCCGCCGATTCCCGATCCCGAATCGGGAACAGCCGAAGGCGGAGACCAGGCCGGAAATTCCCACAAAATTCGGGATTTGGGGATGGAATTTGGTGAAATCCGGGATTTTTGATCCCTTTGGGAAGCCGACAATTCCCATTTTCCTCTCCCATCCGAGCGGATTTTGGGATTCCCCGGGAATCCCAGACATTCCCAAAAATCCGATTTCCTGCCTGGAAATCCCGCTGGGATCTCCCACGGAATTCCAGAGGGGGAATTCCAGCTCTGCCTCCGCCACCCAACGCCCCAAAACTCCCCCAAAATCCGCACCAACGGCAATTCCCAAAATTCCCGGGGATGAATCCTCACCCGGAGCTGGAAATTCCGGCTTCAAGCACCCGAAAATTCCCGATTTGGGGCCATTCCCGCCGGTTTTCCCTGGAATTCCCTGAGTCAGGAGTTACTGATTGACTCCAAAGTCCAGGAAGGAGGGACCCACTCCATTAATTCCCATGGAATCCACGGGGGGGGGAAAGGAGGAGGGAATTTTCCTCCTTTTCCTTGGAAAAATCCGGCGGGAAACGGCAAAAAAAATCCCCCCAAAAACCCTGGAAAATCCGAAAAAAATTCCTGGAAAATCCCCCCCAAAAATCTTGGAAAATCCAAAAAATTCTCCCCCCCCCCACCCCCCGCAATCCCGAAATTCCGGGAGCGGCTCCGGGTTGGGATTTGCCGGAGAGGAATGACCTCGGTGCCAAAGCTCTGCCCGGCTTTTCATGGAATTCTCTTCCGGCTCCGGGAATTCCGCGGGGAAATCGGGGATCCGTGGGATTTGGGAATGGCGGAGCTGCTGCTTCCCGAGGCTTGGGGGGTTCTGGGAATGCTGATCCCGAGTTTTGGGGCATCCCAGAGCCGCCGTTCCCGAGTTTTGGGATGTCCTGGGATCCTTTTCCCGAGCTTTGGGATATCCCAAATCCGCCATTCCCAACTTCTGGCATTTTCTGGGATCCTTTTCCCGAATTTTGGGATTTTCTGGGATGTCCCAAAGCCGCCACTCCCAAGTTTTGGGATTTTCTGGGAAGCTTTTCCCAAGTTTTGGGGTGTTCTGGCATTTCTGGGATGCTTCTCCATCCCCAAAAAAAAAACCATCCTGGATGTTTTTTCCCTGGAAAAATCAGGGATGAGGATCGGGAATTCCCATCCCAGTGCTCGGGAATTGCCCCGAAAGGATTTCAAAGCACCCGGGAATTTCGGGATAAATTTGGGGATGGGGGACGGGAACGGCTCCGGGAGGATTTGGGATGCGGAAATTTGGGATTTCCGGGAATTCCGGGGAATTTGGGAAGGGAGGGATTTCACACCCAACCCGTTCCCACCCTCCGGAGAATTCCCGCTTTTCCAGGTCGCTCCAAGCTTGGGAAATTCCAAGGATTTTCCAGGTTTTTCTCCCAAAATCCCACAGGAATCTCCTTTTTTTTTCCCCTGTTCTCTGTTTTCCTGGAATTCCAGCCCTTTTCCGGATTTTTGGGATCGGGAATGGCCCCAAAAGCGTCGGATTTTCCGTGGATTTTCCCTCATTCCTACCCAAAAACGGCTCCTCCTTCCCAGCGGGGTCACACGGAATTCTTTGGGATTTCCCCGCTGCTCAAAAGGGGGAAACCTTCCCTAAATCCAGGAAAATCCCAAAATCCCGGCGGAAATCCCCAATTTTCCCAATTCCCAGTCGAGAACTGGGAACGATCAGCACAGAAAAAGAGGGAAAAGCCAGAAAATCCTGGAAAAATCCCGGTTTGGAGCTCCCAAAAAAACGGGAAAGTCCCAAAATCGGGAATTTCGGGCCGCTTGGATCCACAGGAGCCTCAAAGTTTGGGAATTTTGGAGGAAAATGGGAATTCCCTGAGGATCCGGGATAAAAAACCTGGAAAAGAGGATTAAAAAAACCAGGAAAAACAACTTAAATCCAGGTTTTCCCCCTTAAAATCCGGAGCTTTTCCCAACTTTTTGTGTCCCCCCATTCCCGAATCGCCAGAGCCGGAAGAGAAATCCCAAAAAATTCGGGATGGAAGCGTCGATTCCAGGTGGGAAAAGCCAAATCCTGTCCCAAAAAAACCCCAAAAAATTAAAATCAAAATTCCCAAAAAAAGCCCAAAATTCCCAAGGAATGGGAACACCACCCCCCCCCCCCCCCCCGTTTTCCATGGAAACCCCCCCCCAAAAAAATTCCCGGGATAAAGGATCTTTGTGCAAGGCTCCGTCTCCCGCCGGGAATTTTTTTTGGGAATAAAAAGGAGCTTTTTTGGTGGCCGGAGCCGCTCCGAGGACGCCGAGAACTCCGGGAAAAAAGGGGGAATTTGGGGGGGGGGTCTCTGGGGGTCTGGGAGGTGCCGGAAAATCCCAAATTTTCCCCAAAAAATTGGGGGGGAAAAAAAATGGGAAAAATCCCAAAGGAGTTTTGGGGGGAAAATTGGGGGAATTGGGAAGCCCCTTCCCCAAAAAAGGGGGAATTTCACCCCCCCAGATGGAATTTGGGGAGGGGGATTTGAGGGATGGATCCCAATTTGGGGAGGGGGATTTGAGGGATCCCAATTTGGGGAGGGGGATTTGAGGGATCCCAATTTGGGGAGGGGGATTGGAGGGGATCCCAATTTGGGGAGGGGGATTGGAGGGATGGATCCCAATTTGGGGAGGGGGATTCGAGGGGATCCCAATTTGGGGAGGGGGATTTGAGGGATCCCAATTTG